TGAACATCTGTGCCCCAATGCCATCACGCTTCTCCAAACCCCATCTGCATTCCCTTCTCATCCTGTGCCTGTTTGCCCATATTAGTTTTTACTTCCCACCTAGACATTTGTGTATACTTTGCACAATTTTCCTAAAGTGCTTAATTATTTGCATGTTACCTCTCTTCCCTAAAATATGCATTCATTTACTCTTCCCTCTTGTAGACTAAAATATGTTTGTTCAGTTGTACACAGATTAGACGTGTGCCATTTTGTGCCATACTTCATTTCCCCATCCATAAAGTTTGCCAGTGTACAGATTCCTGAGGTGAAGGCATATCTTAGGATTCTTGAGATTGTTAAATTCAGAGAAATACTCTTCCATCCCTAAGCTTCAGCAACACAACAAGGGAGGCAGAATCTCCTTCTCCCCAGGGCTGAGAGGGGAGTAGCAGTAAAATAATCAGGCAGGGAGGTGGGGGAGAGGCAGGAAGGTGAAGCTCACAGATGGTTGGGAAGGGAGGGAGGCTAAGAGGTAAAGTGGGTGGGCAAGAAGGAGTTAATTCTTCCCCAGCTTGGATGCAGTTTGAGTTTGAAACAACCTCCTGTTTGAGGTAAGCATCAGAAGTCACAAAGGTTTATTATATCCACAATCAGAGATACCTTTTCAGTGCATCTCCTGTTAATTGCTTTCTGTGGTTTATGTTTTAGAATCAAGTGTGAGGCTTCTCTCTGCTGCACCACACTGGCTCCCAATTTCACTCTCTGGCCAACCTGTTCTGTTGTGCTCTGGAAGGACAGTAAACTTTTCCTTCTGACTCTACTCATGAGTTGCCCGGTTCCAGCCTGGCTTTTGCCAGGCGTCCAGCAGATTTTTTCAGGCTCCTTCTTGCCTACCCTCAAGACTGGCTCCTTTGATTGCTTCAGGTTAACATATATCCCATGGCCCGTGAATGCATCAAAAATGGTGCACACATGAACCTCTCTTCCTTAATCCTTGCAGACTTTTGCCTTGTTTAAATGCAGAGGCTCTGCCTGTTTGCCCAGGAATTCAGTGTCAACAGAGGTTGTGAACACAACTTGGAGAAAAGCAGCTTTTTGCTGCTTGATGGGGAAACCAGCCTTGCTAACCTCGGCTTTTTGTTCCTTGCCAGTGAAGTGAGAGGCACCATTTTTAAAAAAAAGGAGTGCAGCACTTCTTGTTGAGACAGTTTTAAACTGTTTTTTAAACCTGATGGGGTGGGGCAGGGCAAAGAAAGGACGAGAGAAGGAAGCAAAAGCAGCTTCACAAAGGTATGAAAGGAAAAAAGGTAAATAATACAGTGGTCCAGTTCTTTTCTTTCTGAGGCCAGGTAAACAACTCCATTTAAATCAATCATTGGTGGAAAAGGCATAGGTTGAAGAAATATGTGGCTGGGCAAACAATGGATGTATTCTGGCCTCTGAATCCTTGAAGTTGGTTTATGTGTGTGGGGTGGACGGGGGAGTTACCTGGTAGGATTGTGCTGCCTTTGAAAGTCACTGAGCAGAATCTGCTTTTGTTAGATGCTATCAGGGAGGCTTTGCTCTGTTTCTTGACAGCACTAGTCACTTGGTGGGTATGTGCCAGAGGTCAGAGCACTGCTAGATGCTGCAAAAGAGAAAGGAGAGGAGCAGGTTAGAAGGAGATTAAAAGGGGCAAGCTGCTCCATTGAAAAACCAAACTCTCTTCTTACAAGCTTGGCAGAGGTGCAAAAAGCAGAGGTCTCTTGCTAGTAAAAGTTCAATGGGAGCCCTGTGGGCTAGAGTTGCCCCTTTCCCTGTGTGTTAGATGGAAGGCAGGCAAGATTTAGAAACAGTTCTCATGGAGTTGTGAGGCAGATGAAACTGCCTCTGTACCTTATATTGAAATATATCTCATGCATGGGGAGTGAGGTAAGGCTGCATCAAGTAGCCCTTCCTGTGATGGCATGAGAACCAACGAACCCTGCACACATAGCGCATCCATCCTCCGGGAGGAAGTCTTCTCTGTATACTTGTTAAATAATGTTGGAGACCCTTAGCAATGGCAGTTCCAGCTTCATATGGACACTTTAACATGTGCAGCTAAATATGGAAAGGCTGCTTTTCTCCAGGCCTTCCTACTTAGCGGCACGTGCCAGGGTTGGGGGCAATCACTGTGCATGACCGTGGAAAGTGGGGCATGTTGGTACAATGCAACTCTTCCTTCACATTTTTGTCTAATGCATGTGAAAACATTCCTGAACAGGGTTCATAAAGCAGTATAATTCCCACATGGTTCGCCAGGGCATGCTACTATGTTGATAGATTGATATTTGTTGAGTAACTAAAATATCTTCTGAGGAAAAGCTAGCCATTCACACAGCAGGCTGTAGATCTCTCTTAGTCTATGATACACAGCCCTGGCATTGCCTTCATTCAGACAGCTTCTGTGATAAACAAGTAAACACTGCTATGTTTCTATACTGGGTATGAGAACCCAGCATGGGGTGGATCTACTATGAAAGTAATGAAGCTTATGCTTCAGTGCCCCTAATGCTGGAATAACCCATTGAAGTAGTTACCCACAACTCATTGCTGGTTGTGAATAGCCCCCCGTAACAGTTCAAGCTTCATGCCTCAAAAATGTGGGCCCGCCACTGGATACAGTAGAATTAACTACAATCAGATGAGGTTCTCTGTGGCATCTCTGTACAAATCACTATGACAGAATCATTTCATTCTGTTCCAATCACAAGATTTGCCCAAGACTGCAACTTCTATAGATTCATGGGAAATGTGTACCACTTAAGGACACCATATTCACATGTACTTGTTCTGAAAAGAAACTTCTTCTGGTGTTGTGACTTTTTTAAAATTTAGATAGAAAGTGTGCCTCGCAGCTGGATGTTTGGAATAAAATATTCCTGGGAAGCTTGAGGAACTGGGTTTAGTTTTTTTTCCTTGTTTTTTTTGGGGTATGACAATTGAAATGAATCTCAGTATCATTTGATAGCAAGGGAGACCATCACAATTAGCATTATCCCCGAGGGAGACTCCAAAGTATGTCCCTTTAGCCTGCTATTCAACTGTAAGACCTAATGTAGTGTAGTAGACTGAGAGCAGGAAATCCCCATGCTCAAATCCCTTCTGCCATGAAGTCCACTGGATGACTCTCAGCCAGCCCTCTCTCTCTCTCTCTCTCTCTCTCTCAATCAATCAA